GTATCTATCCAAAAGCATGGCACCTGGTATGCGATCAATCAATACATGTCCATGGATGGCTGTGGTTTATAGACTTGGCTTTCTGATGAACATATGGTTATAGAGATAGATCTCAGAGGTAATTAATATGCACCTAAATACTGCCTCTCTCAAATATCAGCTGTATTAAATTAGAGCATGATTATCACCAACGATTGAATTTTTTTCTAGCATACAGTGATATAACAAAAATTTTTCATGTTTGGATATAGCGAGGGCCTAATTTATCAGGTGTAGGAGACACCTTTCTCTCCATTGTGAGTTTTTGAAAATCCGATTTGTATTCCTGACCAGATAAGTAGGAGTTCCACTTTAGCCTAGCCAAAGGCTTCAGAATTGTCTAGATTTCAATCATTTCAAATATTTAAGTATATACTGAAAGACAAAAGATGAAAAGTCATTTTATTTTGCAATTTTTCACTTATGTTTTAACATTCATTTAATGATTGTTTGCCTTTGCATCAAAATATTTTATGAAACATATTTTTGTCACTATCTGTAAATTGATACTTTATTTGTATAGTCTACAATAAATACCTACACATATAACTCTAGTTACCATGTGCATCAAAGTGTTTTCTTAGGAATCTTCCCTAGTTGTTGGGACTTTTTTCATTATGCAAAAAGAGAATTTTATTATGATTTCAGTTAAGAAACTTTCAGTAATTTGAGAATATTTAACACTAGATGGCAGGATGAGACTATAGATACCCAACTCATAGCTAAATATAAAAAGGATCCAATATTTTCTCCAAGGGGTTAAGAATTTTTAAGCAAATATATCTTTTTATTTAAAAACATTCACTTTATATAACAGATTAATGTTAAACATGAATAATTGAAGAGAAAAATTGAAATTGCTAATAATTTTACAAATTATATAAATATAATAATAGCTGAATAAAATAGTCTGTACTGGGAACACATTCATACTAATTTGGTATCTTTAGAATTTTAATAATTAAAATTTCAAGCAAATCTGAGATAATCATTTAATCAAATGCTACTTAGGTCAATATGCATTAACATAAAGTTAAATCATTTATGTCACAATCAAGATCAATATTCAGCAAATAAGAAGCATTTCAGAATAAATACAATAAATATATATGAAAGGGAATCTTATCAAGGCCAACTAAAACTAGCCTAGAAATAGAAAGAACTATTTTAAACTTTTCTGGGAAAGGAGATTTGAGTTTCCCAAATAAATTACTCACTCATTCTCAGTCAGTGAATTGTGGATAAGCATGGCTAGGGTGACCATATGTAATATTTCACCCAAACCAGGACACTTCTGAGCATGGAAATATAAACTGGAACAGCCCTAGCAAACTAGGACATATGATTCCCCTAATCTGGAATGTTTACTCTAAATAAGTTTATTTTGTGCCCTCATTTAAGTGAGCATTGTACATTTTGTTATACTTAAATATTAAATTGTAATTAGTCCATGACATATCTCATCTGCCGGAGCTAGCTCTTTGGTCCTAGTGACAGGTACCCCTGATGGGGAAGGAGAGCTCAAACACTCATGAACATTTATGAGGAAAAAATGAGTTCCCTGGAAGATCCCACTCCATCAGAATTTTAAAATCAGTGAAAAGAATAGACGGATTTTTACCCAATTGTTTTTGATATGTTGTTAGACTCTCTTGGGGAAACACATTTTAAAATACTAAAAGAGATTCTCTATGTAAGTTAGCAAAATCGTTTTATTTATCTATGTATGGGCCTGATACAGTATTATTCATTTCAAATGTTTTCTGCTCTTTCCAATTCATATTCATAGTAAATATTTTAAAACAACATTATGCTTTCTCTCAGGATGATTAATTATGTGCACATTTAGAGTGAAAAAAACAGCCCTTTGGTTTTAATAATAGAAAAAGAGCATATTCATTCTCAACTAGATAACAGCGAACTGTATTTTTCTGTAACTACCAACAGCTGGTACAGTGTCTAGCTCAACATATAGGCTTGATCACTACTTATTCAATGATTTCAAGTGTCTTCAATTGGCTCTGGAAAAAAGATTATTGTGTATATATGCATATACATGAAATATGGAAGGATGAATTAATGTATTAATTAATACTATATTGTCTAAGAATCAACTCATTAATTATTGAAACATTTTTATTTTGTTCTATGGTATTTTCCCAAATATTTGTTGTCGTGTTTCAGTGTGTACTTGAGGAGTCTGCGTTACATCTTTTCACTTGTCCCTCCATACCCAGAGAGGCTCCCAAAAGTCCTTATGCCATTTATTTCATCTAGAGTTTATAAAAGGTCACAGTTTAAGGATTTGATTAGTGGAATGCACTTTGTCTGTTACTTCTTAATAAGACTTATAGATGACAGTGATAAAATTACCCAAGTCTTCATGGATTATAAACATGTGCCTGACCAATAATTTTAATATAAATACTATAATTTCTGTTAGCTTTCCAGTTAGTATACCCTTGGTGTATAATAGAGGAGAAAGAGCATTCAAGATTTGAAGTCTTGCCCTGGCCAGTTTGGTTAGATGTCAGCCCACAGACCAGAGAGTCCCGGGTTCAGTTCCTGCTAAGGGCATGTACTTCTGTTGCAGTTTGTCCCTGGCCCTGGTTGGGGTCATTTGGGTGGCAACCACTAGATATGTCTCTCTCACATCAATGTTTCTCTTTCTCTCTCTCTCCCTCTGTCTGTCCCTCCTGCTCTTTCTGAACATAAATGCAAAAATGTCTTCGGGTGAGGATAGAAAAAAAAAAAAAAAAGATTTGAAGTCTTATGACATAAATTCATAGCACAGATTATTTTTTTCATTCACTAGACTTGGACAAATTACTAGTGTTGGACAAATAAATCAACTAATCTTTGGGGAAAATATTAATTTTTTTAAACTTAACAGGAAAAGTTTTAGTTTTTCATAACTTAAATTCAAAGCTATATACTGATTTCTTTCCAAGAGATCAGACGTCTCTTTCACAAATTATATTAAGCATGGAGATAAGCAGACATGGACAGAGATGATTCAGATATTAAAATCTAGTATTTGATTCTGCTACAAATTTTGGAATGGGAATATCAAGACCTAAAATATTTTGTCAAAGATCCCACTGGAAAGTATCAGAACCAGAATTGGAATTTCATGGCTTATGGTCCAATCCCAGGGCTTTCTACTCTTTAGTTCCCTGAGCAGTGTGCTCCCTGCACAGCAGAATTTAGCAAAGCTTTTACCTGGGACCGTTCACTTTGGGATTCTGATTAGAGTCATTGTTTATGGAGCTATTCATAATCTGCATCGCTGACTTTTTTCGCAGAGGCTGAAGGAAATAGCTCAGAATGCAGTAACATCTTATCAGCCTCCCAAGGCGAAGCAAACCAATACAATATTCAATAACCTGGCAATTGAACTCCTTGGTTATTTTCTATCTCCCAGTAACAAAATAGGTATAGCTCAGTTTCTTACAAGTCTTTTAATGATCATTGATAGAGGTTCGTATGTATCCTATTTTTTATATGTTTGTATTTTTATTGACCTTGATTCTATTGATCTTAAAATCAAAGATTGTATAATAAATTTCTTTCATGGATCCAGGTAATAAAAATGTTAGGAGCTTAGTGTGTCAGAAACATGATATCCCTTTAAGTTATGCAGCCTTGTCTTCCTGTGTTAGTCTACAAGGAGTGTTTTAACATCTCGTTTTGTTCCACAATTGCAGAAACTACCAATTTCTCAATGCCTCTGATCCCAAATTTACTATGAACGGAGTGAACATCACAATATCTTATTTATTTCTAAATATTACATAGTTTGTTGATTCAAAGTCTTAGAGATATAAGGGATTTTATGTATTATTTGATCCATCTTTATTAGTTTACAGATGAGTACATTGATACCTAGATAAATTAAGTGATTTTTAATGCTGTGTAGTTTTCAGGAATTATAATTACTGTTGTATCTTCATACACTTCCCATATTATTAAAAGACGTTTCTAATTTAAAACTTTCTTTCCTGGTCACTTACAATGATTTAGTAAATACATTTAGAATAAAATTATCTTTTGAGGCAAAACTTAAAAAAATATTAATGTATCTTACAGATTTTAAGTTGTTTCGTACTATTATATGTATAAATTATATACATTTTTGTTGAGGCCATTTTGAGGTATAAATGTAGTATAAATTGCTCTTTAGTTTTATAGATGATAACAAGTCAAATTTTTTAAATATGTGCAATTATTTTAAATTTATGAATATGTTCTCAAAAAGTTATTTTATCAAATATATATACTTATATACAGTGAAAAATAATTCTGTATATGTATACAAACACAATGGTTTTGTTTATGAAGAACACACACATATTAATTTCATAACAAAGCAAAAGATGTTTAAAAACCTACAGAATAAAGTTTCTTCAATTTATCAAAGAATAGCTGATTATCAGAGCTCCAAATTAATAAGAGTTGAATCAGAGTTAATTTTGATGGATGCAATTATTATTTTTCTGTGGTCATTTATGAAGAAAATAATTTCCTCAGACATGTTGTCAAATATAATTCAACACACACACACACACACACACACACACACACACACACACCACCCATGCCCCTAACTCCTTTAATTCTTTGAATGAAATATTATATTCAGATTTTCTTCAAATCACAGTCAACTCTGTTTGGCAAGTTCTAACAGAACTTAGTCAAGGTGAAATCCAGCCAGTTTTTGCTCTTAATAATGTATTCACACAGCGTAAGATCTCTGTCTGTTCAGGCTGCTTCTTGCTCTGGTCTCAGAATGAGAAAGGAGTGCTGCTTTCCTGGGGTATGCTATTTGAGAAAGAAAGTAACCTAACACTAACTGCAGGCGGGGTCAGAGTGATGTAACAGGAAGCTCTGATGTTTCCCTTCTGCTGCTGAGCACTTACAATGTGACAACACTTCCAATCTACTCAGAGCAACCCTTTCTCTCCAGCAGAGAGTATCACCTCCCGCTCCAGGATCCTCAAGCTCTGCTCACTGGACCTCACCCTGTCTGCAGGTCACATTGCAAGGCTTTCCCTCTTCCCAGCCTTGCCTGGGGGTAAATCTCTGCTGTGGAATCTCAGAAAATCACATTCCCTTCTAAGAATATTTCACCAAGAATTTCCTTAGGAGCTGTACTGGGTAAGTACATTATTCAAAATGAATATATTTATTCTGAGTAGTATTCTCATGCAGTTTGACCATGTTTCTACTAGGGAATTTAGTGGCATTGAAATAATGTTGAAACATAGCCTTATTTATTTCACATTAGAGAAACTACAGTATATTACTCCAAAATGTGTACAAAATCTTTTACTATTAGACAATATTACATACAGTAATAGTTTAGAAAATAAATTTAGCAAATAATAAAAAATCTCAGTGGATTAAAAGTCATGCTTCTAAGAAAATATCAGGGAACAATGCCTTTTAAAATTAGTTCGGCTAATAGCTAAACTTGAATATTGACAGCTGGAAAACATTGTTCACCCCAAGAAGGGTCTTTAAATTTTCCATATAATCAGGATTCTAAGAAAGGGGTAAAAGAATAGCTACTTTTGGAGTCCCAGAGTCTCACTCACTCTGTAGTTGAACACAATGGAAAATTTAAAGGAAAGTAATCACTTTGGATTTATTATATTTGCCTTCTATTTGCCTTTTACTTCTACTTATCTCTAACTATTGGACTACTGGAATTTTCATTGTTCATTGTTGCCGGATGTGTTTAAATCTCTCTTTTGCTAACCCTGAACTGTTTCCGCTGTGTTGGATAATGGGGTGGGCTACAAAGGAAAAAAACAGGTAGGGTTGAGAAAATGTTGAGATTTCCATATCAACTCTAATTCTATTAGCTAGTAGAATGTGTTAATTCAATTTGTCTGGGATCCCTCTGCAACCTTTGGAGGGGAGGGTGTGATAGTGAGATAACTGCGGATTAAGAAAAGTAGCAAAGCTTTCCCAAATGAGTGCATCAGATTATTAAACAGAAAAATTAAAGTAGGTATTTTAAAAGAAAGCATTTTCAGAATAGAACTTATGAAATGTAGAGATGAAACGTCTATTAATACTTCTTTCAATGGTACAGACTGTCCTGGACACTAAGAAACTGGTGTCTACTTAATAAGTTGTTGGTATGGAGATATCATAAATTTGTGGCTAAGAAAAATATTGGTGTCAGATTTGGGTTCAGTTATATTGGTTGACAAAATACATATACATTGTCTTACCTGAATGAAATTATATTCTGCAAAATGCCCTTCAATGGAGAAATTCTGTATTTAATCACTCAGAATTGAACACATTAACGTGAACGACAGACTCATTCTGAGTAACTCCCTGGTAACTGTATACTCATTTTTACCCCAAAATTTATTCAAATAATATAAACTTCAATTAAGCCTTATTTTTGTAATTCTTTAAAAATAGTGTGGATGATTTCTTATCTACTTTCTATTATTAATTGCATTCAATACCCTGACACATGGCTAGATGGAAAAGTGTTTTTAGAATGTGACCTTTTAAATAGCCACCTGATAATTAGAGGAGGAAACGGAAAGAACACATTAAATGCCTAACCCAATGCCATGGGTTAGTAACAAAAATTAAAATAGCATTATTTTTAATTTAGATTATTTTCTTAGAAGGAGGTATTAGTTTGGAACTCCCCAAACTTCTCTAATTTTTCTAAATTGATACCCGAAACCCCCTGATTTCCCTCCATAACTTAATTACGTTTTTGTAACTGCATTAATAGTGTGGATTATCATTGTTATTTTTTTTTAATACTGTTTTAAAACACTAGACAATGGATATTGAGGATCATTAGGGAAAGACCTCATATTTGAGAAAATGTTATATATAAACATTTCAAATGTTTGAAAGTTTGAATAAAAATTCATATTATTATTTTTTGGTGTTTGCTTTTTTTAATTACAAGAGAGAGCATCAATGTATGCTTTCAACCATAAAGAATTAATTTATTTTTCTAGATGATATTTGCCTATAGCATCAGAAAAATCAATGCACAGAGTCTAAGGCTAGTTCTAATTATGTGAGATGAAACATAAAATTGAGAAATTACATGAAAAATGTAAGTTAAAATACCTGCAGTATTCAATTATCTTCAAGAAATATATTTTTGTTGTTTTGTTACTACAATGTCTTTTTTAAAAAATATATCTAGCACATGCTAAAATGTTATTTGTGTTAATTAAAATATATAAATGTTTAGAATATATTAAAACTATCACTTTGAAAAAATACAACAGTAAAATAAAAGAAATTAAAACTGAGTCTGTAATTTTAAAATTACATTAAAGAATGACCAAGGTATATGTATTTTACTCATGATATTAGAATATAATGAGATTTAAATGGAGTCAACACTGTAGCATATTTATGAAACTCTTTACATTCACCTGTATTTTTACCATTATTTTTTCTTGCATAACAGAAGTTTGAATTTCAGTAAAAAAATAAAAATAATATTAAGACAAAAAAGATTAGCTTATGTGCTTTATGTTAATGTGGAAAAAGTTTTTGATAAACATGTAAAAACTCATGAGACTTCAAGTAATATCATTATTATATATTTCTAACAGATCATTTGGAGCCATTATAACAATAATTTGCTTTACATTTTTATCTACATGGTTAAAATTAGACAGTAACAATTTTTAAGGATTATCTCATAACTTCACAGAAAAATTAGCAAAATAATTTTTAAATGATCAAAATATGGATTCACTAAACAAAACTGATTTTGTACTCTGTATGACTTAGAATGCAGCTTGAAAAACTGTGTTTAGAGATATAATGATTATGGTGTCAACTTTTCAGAAAACAAATATATTCAGAGAATCTTGTTTGAGGTCATTGGCTTTCTTCTTTATCTTTGTTTAGGACTCAGACAAACTTTTCACCCATAAACATAAGCTGTATTGTTGCAATGGTGTTAAAGAAAGACACTCAGAGTGTCAAATTTGTAGCACCTCTTTTTTCTTGACTCAATCAGACTGTCGGTGAATACACTGCAAATGGAAAATCAGTGCACAGCTATTTAAAACACTTGTCTGTGTCTGGTTTGAAGTCTGTGTATGAACTATAAATGTTTATACTCTCTTGGGGAAGCTCTCTTTTCTACCAAAGAATTTCTATCATTAAATGATTCAAGAAATCATTTCATTTAAGGTGAGAAAATGTTTTGATGCAATTAAGTGGGAAATAAATATTTACCCAAAATACAAAATCAGGTCTGCATACTAACCAGCTATCTCAATCATTTTTTTTTCTTTTTCTTTTATTTTTTTTATTCCTCACCCGAGAATATTTTTCTATTTATCATTAGATAGACTGAGAGGGAGAGAAAGAGAGAGAGACAGATAGAAACATCGATGTAGAGAGACAGATAGAAACATCAATGTGATAGAGACACATCGATTGGTTGCCACTCACACAACCCCAACCAGGACCGGGGACAAATAGCAACCAAGGTACATGCTCTGGACCAAAATGGAACCCACAACTCACTGGTCCACAAGCTGACTTTCTAACCTCTGAGCCAAATTGGCCAGGGCTCAATCATTTTTCTCTTTATTCACATAGACAACCATCCCTGCCCAAATTCTTTCGTCAAGAGCAGTTGTGCAACTCAAAGTATCTGGATACTTTCACACCTTGATTTTAGTTTACCTACTTATAAGTTGGTTTTTAATCTTGAAGATGTATAGCCTTAGTTTAAAGCCTAAAATTGAAGAAATAATAAGTAGAATACATTGAATTGTAAAATTTGGAATATAATTATTGAGTTAGCGTGATTTAGTTTTTAAAAAAGAATCTATGCATTAGAAATGTGACAATTAAATCAACAAAATCCATAGAAATAATGGAAAATATTTTTATACATTCTATTGCAATTCCAATTTACACAGAAAAGACCTCAATAAATCCAGAGTTTTCTTTTGTTTCTAATTAGAATTACAATATTGTTCATTAAATCAGATTAGATCAAATAATCCCTGCTTTTTCTCATATTTGAGAAATTTCAAAACCAAATTATTTTTATAATTTGATATTATTTTATGAAAAAAGAAATTAGTTTTTAAAAACACAATAAGTGTCTTACCTTTTAGTATTAAGAAATAGAGTCACTTGCTATGAACTGAGTTAAGATCTATGTGTATTAAGTTTCTACTATTATCATCAGATGATAAATTGCAAATATTTTCATAAAACATGTTTCTTTCTGTTTTTCCTTAAATTATTTTGCCTATTTGAGAGAGACAATATTATGCAAAACCCATTCACCAATATATTATTGTTTTCAAAAGTAGTCACAATAGTGTATTTATTTTTAAAATGTAAAACAAAGTTTATCTGCTTATTCTTTCGTGGTTTAAAATAAATGCATGTTTTTTACCTTACTGCAGTTAAAAGAACAAAAATCTCAACTCAACCTAACATAAATCTTAATAATAAAAAAATAACCTTTATGATACTGAGGCTATAGCTCTGTACTTCACTGTGGTTGTTGGATGGAGCTCAATTTTCAGAAAAATCTTATTTCTCTTAACATGGAACATATTTTTTAATTTAAAAAATTTAATATAGCATAACATTTTGTATAAGTCTGCAGTTATTTCTCCATTAGGTTGAGGTTAACCTGAGCTCAATTGTGTTTCTCATGAAACCATAGTAGCTCCTGAGCATGTCATTGATGCATTAAATAGCAGTGACATAATTAAATAGCAACTAGATGGCTTATAAGAGCACCCCCTCCTTACCATTTAGCATACTCATGAGCACACAGTCTTAGGTTTATCCATCAGAACCAAGATAAATGTGTCTTATATCTTAAGTACTGAGTTCATAAATTTTACAAATGAGAATTAATTTGAACCTATGTCCATTAGCCTGAGATCAATCATTAAGCAGATATTGGTGCATAAACATCCATTTGCCCCCTTCAAAGGGTAATTTGAAGGGAAAATTGGAACTTTGGTAATACTGGAAAGAAATAAATAACATCATAACAGAAAGTAAGGAGAACTAAAATTGTGGGAAAAGAATGTCAACAATACAAAAATGTGTTTTTTCTTTTTGGTTTAATTCTGAAGTTACTTTCAAATGTGAGGCAAATTAAG